TGGGAGCACTTTGAAGCCTAAATGTATTTAAGTTATTGAACAGCTCATGGGCTTGCTCCCTGCATTTGTAATTGAATCTTGAAGAGAACTGGACTTCAGATATCATGGATGGACCAAGAATGTAGGATTTATAGATTTAGTTCAGAATAAAACATGCTGCCAGAGCTAAAGCCCTGATGATAGCTTCCAGTTAAATATGCAAACCAATGAATTTAAGTATAGATGGAGAAGTATGGCATACCTTCTAGAAACCAAACTTCTCAGTGAAAGATATGTTCTTATTAATTATGCTTCCTGGATAAGTGAATGGTAACCAATGATATTTTTGTTTTTGTAAATTACATATAATACTCCTGATAGCTGCTGTCCATTTCCTAGCACTGGCGGCAGAATGGTTGACAAGCACAGAACCTTGTGGGTATCAAATTGTATAGTGTTACTCTCTAGTAGTGATAATACATGATGAGGAAAGAGTAAGAAATAGGATGAGGTATTTTAGAGAATCGAGCACATCTTTGGAAAGTCACCCAATATAATTTAGAATCCAGGGTGCTGATTTTTTTGTTAGTGTTTATTGTTTCCTTATTTTAAAATTAAATAACAGTTCTGTTTACCAGGGTTCTAGTTTACTGCAATAAAGTGACAGATTGATAAATATTGTTAAGAGGGAAAAGATGACTAAATTAGCAGATAGCAAACTGAAATATCCCAAAGGTTTTGATGCAGAGCATTCAAATGATTAATTCCTCTACATGTTGTAGCTTTTCCAGGGGAGACTTAGTAAGGACATACTTGGGTCAAATGTCAGTGACAGAAATGTTTGCCTAAAAAAAATTGAAGACTTGATTAAATACCATCTCAAAAGACTGCAGACCAAGGGGTTTGTCAAATGAGATTTGACCTATTCTAAAATCATTTACTTCTTCAGAGATTTCCACGCATTTGGGAGTTTGGTAAACTGGAAAGGCTTTTGAAATCTTGCAATGAGAATCTACAACAAGATCATCACAGTTCTACACCTGCAAATACTTAGAGAATTGTTGCTTGGTGCAGTCTCTTTCTGCTCCATCTACTAGTATTTGAGAGGAACTTTTGATGATGAGCAGGTAAAAATACAGAACTCTAATATTTTTCCTTTTGTCCTGTTCTTCTTTTGGGGGTAAGGAGTTCCTAATCATCTGGTTAATATGGACAATCTCTAAGAAGGCAGGCAGCAGCCATTAGGTAAAAGAAAGTTGTGTTCTATAACGACACTTCCAGAAGTTTATAGGAAACCTAAACAAAGGTGTGAGTTTAATCTGGTGCAATATTTTTATAACATGAAGAATCAAATGCTATTCAAAAGCCATGCATGGGGATCTCACAAAAACTGTTGCACCAAAACAAACTCATTTTTACTTCTATTATTCCAAAAAACTTTCTGATGTTCCCTTTTATAAATAATTGCAGGAAACAGAAGTGAGATGGAAAACATGCTTGAAACAGTTTACCAGGAATCTCTTAATGGTAATTCTGAGATGACACAATCAGCACTGACTTTGGAGGGCAAAGCCCAAACTAAATGAAAAAACAATCCCTCAGTTTAGAAGCTGAGTAATCATTAAGTATGAGAGGGAAAACGCCATCAATTTTAGTTCTCTGGGTTCCAACAATAGTTACTAATGGAAACGATGTCAGGGGTTCAAGCCCAGTTTCTCTCAGCAACCTTAGCACCATTTCAAAATAAGTCTGTCATACGGTCAGAAACTGGTTGCCAATCTTTTAGTCAAATTGCACATCAATTTAATCTCCTAAGATCATGAAGGACTGAGTGATAGAACCTAAGCCTTCTTTCAATATTGGAGAAACTTTGTGGCTCATAAGGGAGAAGGAGAAGAAACATCTAGTTACCAATATTGAATATTTAACATTAAAAGCAGTGTGTTACACAGAGTTCCAGGAGCAGCATAGACCTTTAAAGGGCATATTAGTCATCTGCTCATTGTTTGCAAAATCAGTTCTTCCTCCTATCTTCAGCTTGCCCATCAGAGTTCTGGATATGGTACATATATAGATCATTGGGAACAAAGCATACTTCTGGTTAGCCAATACATTTCAAAGAACAACTGTGCTAATTGCAAATATACCAGGTTTGATAGTATTTTTCAGGTAGCCATTTGACTTTTATCTTTGTCCATTATCTCTCTGTAGAGATGAATGTCTCAATTTTCACTGGGAAAGGTGCAAGATGTCCAAGGCAAAATCTCTCTCACACAGCCTCAGGACAAATGAAAGTAAAAGCGGCATTAAGCCTCTCCAGCTCTGAGGACACTCTGGTGAAGGCAGGTCACCACCCTGTCCACCCCTTATATTTGTTTGCCTCGTCGCAAGTGGCAAACACTTTCATATCCGTGGATTTATCTTCTTTGTGTACTTGGCCTGTCTTAGAAACTGAGAGAAGTAGAGTGGCACACAGGGACAGGACACAAAGGAGGGAAGTTGTGAAATATTTCTTATAGACTTTTAAGGAGAAGTGAGTACCTCATCTCAGTAACGGCTAGAGAAATACTATGCCTTGGCAGACCCCTTATCTAGTTCACATACTTTCCAACAAAGGAGTAAAGCAATGGAGTCCCTATCCTCTGAGTATTAAGGTTGTTTTCATTTTATCTGAAAGAAATCAAAGAATCATAGGATGTTAGAAATAGGTGGGCTACAGACCATTTGGTTAACCAAATCGCAAAAGTAAATTCAGGGTAATTGAGGGGAAAATATTTCTCTAGGAGAGCTATCCCACGAGGAACAGAAGCCTTGAGAAATGGAGTAGAGAAAAAGTGAGATAATTAGTTTCTGAAATGAGCATCTATATATTGAAGGGTACTGAACATGTAAAGAGCAAAGGCAAGGGAAGAGACAAATGGAAACAAAGAGAGGCTGCCTTACAATATGGAAAAGATAAAGTGATTCATTCACAAATTCACTCAACAAGTAATTATTGAGGCCCCATCCTATATTATTGTAGATATGGGCATAGAGCAGTTAACAAAAACAACAACAAAAACAGAACAAAACTCCCTGGGCTGGTTGACTGTATATTGTAATTGAGAGATACAATGAACAAGAATCATTAATAGAAAAAGTATGCAACATACTAGAAGTAATTCTAAAGAGAAAGTATGCAGAAATGAGTATTTGCAACGTTTGGAGATGGAAATTAAATTCTAGACAAAGTGACCATGGAGGGACTCACTAAAAAGGACCCCTGTGAGTGAAGATGTGAAGGAAGTGAGAAGTAAACCAGGCAAAAGCGTGGGGTTCATGAGTGTGGAGAAGATCAAAGGCTTAGAGACAGGGATGTAGTTTGAGGATCTGAGGATCGATTAAAGGGCTAGGGTGACCAGAGCAGAGTGAGTAAGGAAATGGGTAGTAGGAATTGGTGACAGAGAGGTAACAGAGACACAAATTATGCAAGTCTTATCAGACATAGCAAGTACACTGATGCTTAGCAAGGTTGAAATGGAAATCCATAATTACCAATGTGATACTGTGTCTTTAAAAATATGAGGGTATATAGGCTGTTAAGCATTCCTATCACAAAAAATAAAAGAGGGAAAAGGTTTTGGAGATAACAGTTATATTTGGACATTATTTATAGTGACTATTTCCTGTGCTTACCCTCAAGCTCATCAGGATGTAAGTTACATATACTTGATTATATGTTAGTCATACCTCAATGAAAAACAGAAAATTTCTAGTGGAAAATCTGTGACCTGACCTAACAGAATTTTACAGGATCATGTGAACTGAATGAAGAAAAGGCCAGATACAAAGAAACCAAATAAGACATTACTGGCAAAATCCAGGTGAGTAATGACAATGTGTTGGAATGAAAAATGGAAGTTCAAGTGGCAAGAATATTTAGATTCAGAATAACACCTATAAGAACTTAAAACTTTACATGTTCATTTAATAAATGTTGGTCCCCGTGAAACCCCAGGGACTTCCCTAGATGGTAGGAATACACCAGGTAACAAGCAAAAAAGGGCCAAAGTCTCTGTCCTCAATAAATTTATTTGATTGGGAGATCAAAAGCAAGCAAATAGCCAAGTTGCTGATGTAGTTTCTGCTACTGAATTGTGGTATAAGAAAAATAAAGCAAAATGAGGGAGTAGAGGAGCAAAGATAGGAAGAAAGAGTTTTTTCAGACAAGCTGTTCACGTGTATGTTCGTCTAACAAGTCATATGTTCAGAAGTATCTGGTTGGGATTCCACACTTCTCACTTGGGTTCAGTAACCACAGCATGCAAAACACAGGAGACACTATAAATGTAACTTGAACTAATATCTTAGAAGAGGGTTCTTTAACGGCTTCACCAACAACTTCATTTACAAACTGGATCAGATCAAAGAGGTGCTATGGCCCGAACTATGTGTCAGACACCATGGTAGATACCGACATTATTGGAAAAGGCAGGAATGCACAGACTAAGGAGGCAGACACAGTCACAAAAATAGACAATATTTTACCCAAGGCAGATCATATGTCACAAGATATCTTCTTGATGGAGAATATTAATTCATTGATACACTATCTATCTGACTTAGAGGGCAAAAAAAAGCAGACATCAATGAGAGGATAATCTACCTTATCTTCTTAGTTGGAAAAAAATTCTCTCAGAAGTCATCTGGTGGGAAAGAGCTGAGGATCTATTTATGTAACTATTTCCAAAAGGATGGGGAGGTTTTTGTTTTTATGTTTGTTTACCTAGAATTGATCAGGAGTTTTCTATTTTTTCTTTTTTTTTTTTTTTTGCCAGAATCAAGAAGAGGATATTTTTAGGTTTCTCCCTGACCCCACTGTACATCCTCTATGTGTTCCAAGTCTTCTGAGAAAGAGCAAAGCCAAGAATCATGCACACTGGTTCTGTTTTTCTCACGCCTTCGTCTTCACTCTCATTCTTTCAGGTAGAATTTGGCAGCGGCAGTGGCACTCATCCAGCAAGTCGTGGCAAGAGGGAAGAATGGCCACAGACAATGATACAGCAGTGTTTGAGTATCTCCTTACTGGCATTTCCAATTATCCTGAGTTGAATGGCATGTTTTTCACATTGGTGCTAATAACTTAATTCGACACTTTGTTGGGAAATGAACATATCATCTTTCTGATCCACTTTGACCCCCACCTCCGCACTCCGATGTATTTTTTCCTTAATCGCCTGTCTTTCTTAGACCTTTGCTATGGAATGACCTCCATGCCCCAGGTCTTGGTGCATTGTTTTTCCACCAATCCCTACCTCTCTTATTCAAAATATTAGACCCAAATGAGTGTCTCCCTGGTTTTGGCCACAGCAGAGTGTTTTCTACTGGCCGTCATGGCCTACGACCGTGTGGTTGCTATCAGCAGCCCACTGCGCTCTTCAGTGCTCATGAATGGCCCAGTTTGTGTCTGGTTGGCTGCTACTTCATGGGGGGCATCACTTGTGCTCACTGCAATGCTTGTTTTATCTCTAAGGCTTCGTTTCTGGGAGGCTAATGTCATCAATCATTTTGTCTACGAAATTCTCTCATTAAGCTGGCTTGTTCTGACACCCGCCTCAATGAGCTTATGATCCTCATCACTGGCATTTTCACCTGCTCCTACCCTTTGCGTTTGTTCTCCTCTCCTGTATCCGAATTGTTGAGGAGTCGCTCACCTGAGGGCAGACTCAAGGCCTTTTCCACATACATGAAGCCTCAGTCCAAGTCCTCCTCTAACCAGGACAAGTTTATTTCAGTATTTTATGGAGCCTTGACACCCATGCTGAACCCCCTGATATACAGCCTAAGGAACAAAGATGTTAAAGAGGCAATGAGGAAAGTTATGGCTAGAAGGGCATAAGTCTCCTTCTTTTCTAAACTTCTAAAATAACACTGAGTTAGTTACGTCTTTAATTCTTCGGAAAATTGTTTTAAGGCTCTGACTTTAGCATTGAAAGCAACTTCTGGAAATTCTTCCACCCAAAAATATTATTATTACTGACAACTGAATTTCTATTACACATTTTATAATAATTTTGCTATTCCAAAACATGTAACACTGTTAGGGGTCATCTATTTGGTTAGTCACTTTCAGGTAAATAAGTCTGCCCAAATCATTGCCTCACTGACAGAAGGAATCTAAAGAAGGTTTATTATCAGTGGTGAAAACCAAGACATAACAGAAATTGCAGAATAGGACAGAGTGGTGTGATAAAAGACTTGAAGCTTTACAATTATGAAAACAGCAAATCCTGCTGTGTATGCATAGTGTCCTTCGTGCCACTTAACATTAGAATCATGGGAAAACGGTATTGTTGCTATTTCCTACATTTGCTCAGAGTTTTATTTTTCTTTCTGTTTTCCAGACTTCTTTCTAATCTGTTAGCTTATATTTCTGATATTTTTATTCAACTCATACAAAAGACCCTGAAAATCCCTCTTCGTATTAACAATGAGGAAAGAGAAACCGAGATGACATATTGAGGTACATAACTAATAATGGTCTAAAAACTAGAGTTTTGAAGGCTTTTCTAGGCACAGTGGTTAAGACAACTGTTGGAATACTTGCAACTCATACCATAGTGCCTTGATTTGAGTCCCATTTTGGCTGCCAATTCCAGAATCCTGCTAATGCAGGTGTTGCCTCAATCACTTGAGTTTCCACCTCCCGCATATAAGTGATGGGTTGAGTTTTGGGCTCCTGGCTTCAGTTGGACATAGCCTCAGATGTTGCAGACATTTGATAAGTTCTATCTCTGAAAAAAGGGTGCCGATGAAACAGTAACATAACATTCTTAACCACCATTTGGGTAAAGGTATAACCAAGTTTGGTAAAACTGTATTTGTAGCAATATTGATACTAACAGATATTTCTTTTTCTGTTTGCTTTTTTATTTTGTTTTTAAAATTCTTTATATCCCACACATAAGGGAAAACACATGATATTTGTCTCTGTATCCAGCTTATTTCACTCAGCATAATAACCTCCAACTTCACCCATTATGTTGCAAATGGTAGAATTTCATTCTTTTTAATGCCTGAATAAGACTCCCTTGTGTATACATGCCACATTTTCTTTTTCCAATCATTTGATGATGGACACCTTGGTTGATTCTAAATCCTGGCTATTGTAAACAGTACTGCTATAATATAATAGTACAGGGATCTCTGATATAATGTGCTCCTGTCGTTTGGATATATACCCAGAAATGAGATTGCTGAGTCGTGCATCACGAATATTTCTAAAGAAATCTTCATAGTGTATTCTGCAGTGGCTGCAATAATTTACTATCCTGCCAACACTGTATAAGTGTTCCCCATTCTCCATATCTCTACCAACACTTGCTACTCTGTCTTCTGAATTTTAGTCACAGAATACAATGTTTTTCAAACCTTAATTCACACAGTCCTATGAGAAGGAAACTATTTTTTCAGAATTATTGAAACTGTGATGTTATTACAGATATTTCATTTCTATAGGTGAAATTTGAGGCCCTATGTATAAAGAATAAACTTTCCCAAAATCTTGAAAGCACTTGGAGATAGATGTGGTATTAAGATCTGGGTATTCTGTCTTCTGATCTCACTTTAGCTTGGGCAATTTTACCAAACATCATAAAATCATCTCTTAAGCAATCTAATGGGAACCTGAAGTAAATAGGCAGAAAACAATAAATTGCACAGCACCTACATTAGAGTCAAGCCACTATGGATACTCAGTGTGTCCCTCACCCCTGACTGCTGGAGGTTGATCTGACCTTGTGTGCTGCTGCAAAGTGAGTTTAGACATACAGAGGGACTGTGTCTCATCCTTACTCATTAAGTGAGAAAAACTGAGGATGAATAAGCCACTTATCAAAATAGCTCAATTTTAAAATAAATGCAACATTTACTCAAATTTCATCTATTATATTTTTTAAAGGTACAGTCATTCTTAGTGTCCATGGGGTACTGGTTTCAGGACCCCTCATAGACACCCACATCTGTAGATGTTTAAGTCCCTTACATAAGAAAGCATATTGTTTGCATATATTGTACATACCTCCATCCTGAACACTTTAAACCATCTGTAGACTAGTTGTAAGACCTGCTGCAGCAGAAATGTTATACACAATGTTAGACTGTGCTTGAGACCAATAATGACAATAATGACAAGAAAAAATTGTACATGTTCAATACAGAAACATTTAAAAAATATTTTTATATTCAGTTGTTAGAATCCATAGATATAGAACCAATAAGTAGAAAAGGCTAACTATGTGTGATATTCATAGCCACCAAAACCATGTTTTTAATATCAAAAAGAAGAAAAGTACTTGTGGAACATAAGCAAATACATTCAATCCTCAATTTATTCCTGCAACAAATACTAAATTTCTATTTTCAATCAGGCATTATGCTAGGTGCTGAGGTAAGTTTCTGATTTTGTGCAGAATGTTCCTTGCTATTGAGAGAAATATTTCAAATTGACTCTGTGAAATAAACATAAATGGGTGAAATCAATAAAATATTAAAGGAAAAATCAAGAGAGCATTCAGGTAGAGAGAAATGCAGAAATTAGAAGAAATGTTAAGGGCACTTGTTTTAATGATGCTGCTTTTGGAAGAAGAGATAATCTACTCTCTGTAACAGGTCAGCTTACAGCTTAAAATGAGAATCATATTTTAATAGTTCCCCTACCACAAAATGGTAGCTATGTTTCTTCTTTCTTTTTCTCTTTATTGATTTGGTACAGACACAGCTTGCGGAGAGAATGACATAATGAAGTCTGGAGATAGAGGTTGTAGAATTGATTCTGCTTCTTAACTAGCTGTGTGACCTTAGTTATAACACTCACTGACCTTGAAATTTAACAAGAAGGCTCTGTTTAGTAACCCAACGACCACTCTATTTCTAACATTCTGCATCCAGGTGTTATTTTGTATGGGTTTTCTTTAAAATAAGTGCAATCATATCATCAATTTATTCTGCAACTTGCTTTTGCCACTTGACTATATCGTGAACATTACTCTAGATCAATATATATTGATCTATCTTTCCGACATTAAATGTTAGCTTTGAAAGAAAAAAAATGGGGTGAACATAGCACCTGGTTAACATGGTTCTGGCACTTCCAGCCCAAACATTTTGTTTCTACACATTTAAACTCCAAAAACTATCTAACTCCACATCGATATTTCTTTTTAAATTTTAAATATAAAAATGAGCTCTATGTGGGTGTTCTGAAATTAAATCAATGTTGAGTTTTTTAGAACTCCCAAGTTGAATGCTCTTCTCCATTTGATCAATTCGTAAGCATCCCAAATAGCTTTCCACTGGATTCTCCTCCCTCTCTCCATGCTCCACCTCCCATTCCAGGCAGTTGAGCACTGCAACTTACCTTGCTGCATCCAAGAAAGCAAGACTGAATGACTGGTTTGAAACTAAGATCATTTTGTCATAAGTTGAGGAGCTAGTTTGCAGACAAACAGTCGTATTTCCCAGTGAAGAATTCAAGAATATTTAAGGAAAGGAGTGGCCCATTTATTGGAGTTGGGTTTTCAGTAGACGAGACCAGTAGAGTACAACCAGAGAACAAGCCCTGAAAAGAAATTTGTTGGATTCAGTCATTCAATCTGCCATTGCTTTGTTCAGGTTTCTCTCCAGGTTGTCTTCAGCTGTATTGTGGACATACAGTAACACCTAAATGTCGTGCTCAGATTGATCAGGTAAACAGAAACTATTCCCGTTAGCTGAGGCAAACACAGATTCACTAGAGACAGTTGCAAGAATTGCAGTAATTTTTGGAAATTTTAGAAACTGCTTCAAGTTACATCGCTGGTGTTTCACAGATATCTTAAATGTCTTCCATCAGAACCCACACAACTAAATATGAGACCAGGAAGAGCAATGGTGGTATTTAGTTCTCCACTGTTGCCTTCTTTCCTGCAAGTTCTCCTAATGTATGAAACACACTATTGTGATTTCTTGGCAAAGCAGTTTAGGAAATGTAGTTTCTAAATTTACAATACAGGTTATATAGGCGAAAAGGACAGAGATAGTGTTGAACGCAACTTTATAGACTGGTTATGGGAATTACATGAATTGGTTCATCTAAAACAGTACAATGACTGCTCTACAGTTAGAGTTCAAGAAACACTAGCTATTATTTATTATGCTGTCTGAGCCACATGGGCCTATCATGCTAAGGAATGATGTGCCTACTTAGTTCATACACAGAGTCACAAGTCTACTTGTTGACTTGTACATTGTAGCATCCATAGATATATTACCCCTTCAGTATGTATTAATCATTTGATTTAGAGCAACTACTGTGCTCATTGCTAGGGATGTGGTCCTAAACGAGGCATAATTATCCATTCTTCTCAAAGGTCTCTTTGTCTAAGCAGGCAAACAGACATGAACACAGATAATGATAGTGTGTGTCACATGTTTGTAATTTGTACATAGTTCACAAAGCACTTACCTTAGAGTTCATCTTATTCTTGAACAAATACTAGAAGTCATCTAAAAGTTTATGAAAAATCCATGACAAATCTATGCATGGGTTTCAAAAATGTTTTGCAAAAGGATGTGTAACTTCTACTTCTTTTTCAACTTTTCCTTTTTAAAATCATTGAAAATGTTTTGCTAATAATTCTATTTACTTATGGAGTGTCATATGACATTTCATTCTTCTTTGTATTTCTAGCTGTTCCGTTTTGAAATTTTTGAGATAATATATCCTAATTTATCCTGTATTGAAAGGCTGTAGTAAATCAAGGTTTCAACAAATAAAAAGTCAGAAGACCATAGTTTACTGAAAAATAGGCCAGGGTTATAAACAATAATCAAATCAAATATATTCAACTATTTTTTTCT